CCGCGCACACCCGTCAAAGAGGACGGATCTGCCATCGCCGTCCGCCCTCGCCACTCGGGTGATGCTGCCACCGTCACTCGGCTTCTTCCACCTCCCCGCTGGTTGCTGTCCCGCACCGCGTCGTCCATCGCCGGCCCTGCGGCGACATCCTGTCGGGCCGCCGCTCCTCCCCCGCTTTCCACCGCCGGCGCGCAAGGACGAGCACCGCCGCCAAGTCGCCAATGCCGGTCGTGATCTCCTCACACCCGCCGGCCTCGCTGCCACTGCATCGGCCTCCGTCCAGCGCCCGCGCCCCTCGCCGCGCCTCGCTCACCTCTACTCGGACTCGCGCGCGTGGGAAATGAGAAGGGGATCGATGGGGGAGAGATTAGGCTGACAAGTTGGTCTGCTGTTATTTTAGAGAGGAGTAATAGAGAGTCTGTTGGAGTGATGATCTAGTTTGACTAGCCAAATTAGATGGAGAATTGGCTATACAGGTGTTTGGAGAGTCGAATTTAGAGAGGTTGTTGGAGATGCTCTTATACACTATAGCTCTCCACGCCTAGAAACAGAGATTGTATATAACAGGATGCTGTAATAAAAGAAAACATGAAATTACAGCTGACATATTTGTTACATTAGCCATCACACTTCTATGAACATAAGATATTCTGAAACAGTTTCTAGCACTACTATACGGTATACACAATTCTTTTACATTTTTAAGAGGATCAACTTCATTCGAAGGTAACACTTACACTTACTGGTGTACAGGCAGTTATCTTTGAAGTCACAAAGGCTATCCAATTAGGAAGATAATTTATTTCAATAAAAGTACATTATTCAATCTCTTCTATTCCCACCGTTGTCATAATTTGCAGCACCAATCCTTGGACACTATTTTGTGGATATCACATCAATTCTTTTGCAAACCTCATCAATGTCACTCAGATATAAAACAAAATTAAACTAGCCCTATATATCACCCATCCTATGATTATGGGCATATCATTCTTAGTAATTTCAGTACATATATATCATTATTTCCCCAATATTTACCTCCCTAGCGAGCATCCTTATACTATAGTAAAAACAAGTCAACATTGTCCATTAAATCAACTGGAGAATCTGAAAATATAGCCTTATATTTTGCCACCAAAAACCAATCCCCTTGGGGCCATTGGCACATCCCCATCCACATGATTGATTTATCGTACCGCCCAATTAATTCTTGGCATCGTCGATCTCCAATCTGTCCTTGCTAAACTATGCATTGTACAATTAATTAATCCTTGAAATTAAGAAAAGTCCTCTAAATTGGATCTGAGCACACACCATGTGTTCTTTACCGAACGAAGGAATATTAGTAAAGAAAATAGGAGAGATAATTGCTTCTGATACTCATTTTAATTTGGGTTTGCGTGGTGGTATTGTAACTTGCAAGATTTCGGAGGTGCTGATATAAAGGTAGGGTGTGAGTGTGAGCATTTTTGTAAAGGTGAAAGTGATTGTACGCACGTTGCGATGACTGATGACCTCCTGCGATTGATACCATATTAAAAAAAAGAACGAATGAGAAGAAAATGCCAATCCACAGCTCCAAGCTCAGCCATTCTTCTATGGGAAGGGATCGAGTGATCTCTAACAGTTTTTATTAATTAAGAAATTTTTTTGAGGGCATAATTAAGAAACTTTTTATTCAGGGAAAGGGAAGATATTTGGACGGTGGCCAATCAGAGGGGATCGAATGAAATTAGTGAAGGTTGGAAGTTAAAGGCTTAATTATATATAGACCAAAATCACCGGCCATGCATGCATGCAGAGTCAACCCTGCATGCATATGTTAAATAGACAACAGCAAGGAGCTAAGTTTGTCGTAATCTGCTGTATCCAATACTCCAAATGCAACTTAATTTCTGTGTTTTTATATATATGTATCTACACGGTTTATAATCCCACGCATAATTGAAAGAAGATGCTAATTGCTTCATCTTGATTATCTAAATCTTTAATATGTTTGAGCATTTTTTTTATGCAAAAGCGCGTCTGGTGCAACAAGATCGAACTAACTAATGAATGAATACAGTTCAGTTTAATTAACAATGATTCTACCAAGTGATGATTGACCTTCAAATTTAACAATGGAGGAGATAGGTACACATCATATTATAAATAATTATTTTTTTTCATTTTAATATAATGTTGGTTATAGTTTCTAAATTACATTTGTATTATATGAAAATATAAAAAAGGTGGAATCACATGTAAGCCCATAAGACTCAGCTGAGAGAGATTGGGCTGTGTGTGTTATGGGCTTATGCTCCCAGGTTGGACACTTATGGCCTTCTTTCATTGAACAGCAACTACGGGCTTCTGTGGGCCCCACCCGTTTGATCGTGTCTCTGTTTCGTTTTCCTGCCCCTCCCCGTTTGATCGCGAGAACGCTGTTCGGCGATCGATCGCCCTGGGGATGGGGGTAGCGATCGATCCCCTCACCCTCCATCTGGTTTTCTTTTTTGGCACCATATTACTTTTCTATTTTAATAAATTTATACACCTAAAGTTTATACACCTCAAGTTTACACATCTAAAGTTTAGAAACCAAAAGTTTATAAGTCAAAAGTAGTTTATATGTCCGATTCCAATTTGAATTTGAATTCAAATATTTTTTAATATAGTATTTCTATACATCTAAAGTTTATAAACCTAAAGTTTATAAGTCAAAAGTTTATATACCCGTTTCAAATTTGAATTTGAATTCAAATATCCGATTCAAATATGAATTTGAATAAAATATTTTTCATATATAGTATTTCTATACATCTAAAGTTTATACACCTAAAGTTTATAAGTCAAAAGTTTACATACCCTATTCAAATTTGAATTTGAATTATATCCGATTCAAATTTGAATTTGAATTCAAATATTTTATATATACAGTATTTCTATACATCTAAAGTTTATACACCTAAAGTTTATAGACCCAAAGTTTATAAGTCAAAAGTTTACATACCCGATTCAAATTTGAATTTGAATTCAAATTTTTTATATATAGTATTTCTATACATAAATTTTTCTAACTTTTGTTTTTAAAAAAATTTGTGTGGTGTCCTGTAATAGAAAGAGAAGAAGGGAAGGAGAAAGGGGAGAAGAGGGAGGAGTATAGAGGGAGGGGGGCAAACCGATCGCTGGGTGATCGCCCTGGCGATCGATCGCCCATTAGCCTCCCCCGTTTGATCGTGTCACTGGGAATTTTTTTATTTTTACATTTTTTATTACTAGAAAAAATGTCCGTGCGTAGCAATGGGTGAAGTCTATTTTAACCTTATTATTGTTACTAGCAAAAACGCCCGTGCGTTGCAATGGGTGAAAAATTTTCAATGATAATATATGCTTTTCATGCATAATCATCTCAATAATAATGTTGGTATCGATCGTTGTAGCTAAGACATACCATAAGGAAAATTAGAACATCTTCAATATAATGGTCTAACCTCGATGATGACAACCTACCAACGTAATGGTTGTACACATATAATCTAAAATACTCTTTCAATCTCATTCTTGCAACTAATAATATGATCAATCAAATCCTATACTGTCTCGCATGGTCAATTACTCTAGATAAAATATAGTCATCGTGCACTCTTCTCTTAACAACAATTAAAAATTATTATTTATTATTATATTTATATAATACGCTATCAAGAATATTAGCTATACTTATCAAAGTAGTATGATAATTGCATACAGAGTCGTGCGAGGTCTCCAATACAGGAGCAACACAAGCCATATACGTAGGAGATGGAAAAAATCAAGGATCCTATCTGACCCAAGCCTCCGATCAATTTGATCTTGTTCCGATAAGACCAAGCCCAAGCCCATGCCCATGCATCCACACATAAAAATATTCAACAAATGCTTTGGAAAAACCAAACCAACATGGTAGATGGTACAAACGATACAAATATTTCTCATGGAATAGGATTTTGTTTTCTGAAATTAGACAGCTTTTTTTCGCATTACACGGTGCCGAACCGGATTTTTTTTAAATGCACGTATTTTCTCGCGTTGGGTTGGACAATTTTTTCGGAGCAATACTTTTTATAATAAACGGTGTTTTTTTTTCTCGGGTAGAGTCTAACAATTTTTTCAGTCCGATTTTTCTCGCGTAGATTTAGTTAGTTTTTTCCGATTCGCTTTGTCATAAACAACATTTTTTAACGTTTTATTTCGGAGCGGTTTTTTTTATCTCGTATTGAGTCAGACGTGTTTTAACCACGGTTATTTTTTTTCTCGTGTTGTGTCGGGTGGTAGATTATTTTCTCGTCGGATGGTTTCTCGAACCGGATTTTTTATAAACGGCATTTTTTTCTTTTTTTTTATTTTTTATGGGAGTCGGACTTTTTTTTACAGAGGAGGCAATGTTTTCTTTTTTTACAGGAGTCGGACGTGAGAAGTTTTCTATCTCTTATTTTACGAGAGTCAGATTTTTTTCTACGGACGAAATTTTATCTCTTATTTTATGGGAGTCAGATTTTTTTTACGGACAATTTTTTTCTCTTTTTTTACAACGGCCGGACTTTTTTTAACGGGAAGACTTTTTTTTTTCCTATTTTAAAGGAGTCGGACGTATTGAACGGATGATATTTTTTTCTTTTTTTATTAGAAAAATGCCCGTGCGTTGCAACGGGTAAAAATATTTTTGGATCGCATACATTACACACTTTGTTTTGGGCTGAAAGATTATTTCTTCATTCCTTTTCAGTCGAGTCGCAGCCTAGCTCGCTACCTCTCTGATTGCCTACCTCTCTTTGACCTAGCCCACAAGTGAAGCTGTATACCCAGCTCGCATAGCCCGCTGCCCGTTTCAACAATGGGTAAAAATATTTTTGGATCGCTATACATTATACTATTGGTAAATTTTGCTACAGGACACTGTTTATGTGTGGTTTTAGCCCTAGGATACTACCCAAACTCACTTTTGGGGGAAAACACTACATAAACGTGGTAATTTGCTAGTGGACACCGTGCCGATTAAAAAATAATTTCTGGCTAGAGGAGAGGGAGAAATCACGTGAAAGTTCTAAAATGCCCTTGGGCTGACATGTCATATCTTCCATCTCCCTATCCCCTCCTCCCACACCCGATGCCGTTGCAATCGCCGGCGCCGCCCCATGTCTGTCGCACCTGGAAGGAGACGGCGGCGTACTTGTCCATGCTCGCCATCACGTCCGAGGTCATCATGTACCCTGCAACAACAACCCAGGTGTTGGCTTGATGAATTAGGAGCTGAGACCACAAAAGCGTGTCCAGTGATTTCGATCGAGGTACCTGAGCTGTCCATGTTGGCGTAGACGGGGCGGGGGCGGCGAGCGTGTCGCCGCTGGAGGAGGAGACGACGTTTGGCGAGGCACCAGGTGAGCGCGTGCGTGCTCTCCTCGCTCTCGTCCACGGCCACCACGATCCGTCGCCCGGGAGCCTCAGCCGCAGCAGCAGCATGGTCGGCAGTAGCACCATCATCGGGAACAGACCACGCCATCACTCTCGATAGCTAGAGCGAACGAACGATGAGATCGATGAATCGGGAAATTGGTTGGAGAACTGAGAGATGCAGCCGATGAGTTGATCTGCCGATTTAATGGAGGGAAGAAGACGACGAGCCATCACGCTTGTTGGCGGTAGCAAAAAACTCCGATCAAACACCTTGCGGGCAGACTGTTCACGTCCGGCACGGCACGAACTGCAGCGGCAACAACGAACAGAGCAGAGGAGAAGTTTCAGAGAAAGAATTCTTGCGAGAATGAATGGGGCAATTTTCTGGGGTTTTTCTCATTCAACTGAATGTAAACCTTACAACTGAAATAAAGAGCTAAAACAACTACTTATACTCAACAAATAAATTTGGAATCCAAGGCTAAAATCGCGCCATCCCACGATCCGCTTTTTCTGAACTCCACGCACACACGCACGCCACTCCCAGCGCTCGACTCGGTCACAGTCAACTGATTCGCGACTTATTTGCATCTCTAACAAACTCCTGCTAGACTAACTCGTCCTCCCGATCAGCTCCGAGAGAATCGGCTTGCATTGGGCCACAGCTGAAATTAATCAACAACGCTTGCCGATCTGGTGGCGCGGAGCAGTGGGGCGTCCTGTGGGTTTCGGCGAGGTGGGAGGGAGCTCCTCGACCGGCCGCGTGCGCGGGGAGATCCTGGTCCTGGTCCTGGTCGGTGCGCGCGGGAGAGGAGCTCGCTGGCCAGCCATGCGCGGGGGGATAGTTGTCGGCCGACCATGTGCGGGGGGAAGAGATCGATAGCCGGTCGCGCCCGGGGAGAGGAGTCGTCGGCCGGCTACACGCGGGGGAAGGACCTCGCCGGCTAGCGCTGCGCAGGGAGAGGAGTTCCCGGCTAGCCGCACGCGTGAAGAGGAGTCGTCGGCCGGCCACCGTCATCCCCTCAGCCGTGTCGGATAGGGATAGAGAGAAGAGAGATGGAAGATATGGCTTGTGGGTCCAAGGGCATTTTAGAACTTTCACGTAATTTCTCTCTCCTTTAATCGGCGCGGTGTCCACTGGCAAATTATCATGTTTATGCAGTGTTTAAACCACACATAAGCAGTGTCCTGTAGCAAAATTTCCCTATACTATTTGGTTTTTGTGCCAAAATCTCATTTATTCCTTTTTTTTTTTAGTTCTAGCCCAACCTGTTATCTCCCTCTACTTTGCATGCCTCTATTTGACCTAGCCCATACTTGTATAACCGATAGTTATTTTCAAACTCCAGAAGAGTTATTTTCAAACTCCAGAAGAGTGTCCGTACGATGCCAGAACCAATCCTCCCCATAAAGTCGGATCAAATCTTTCTCAATATCACAAAATTGGTTGCATGCTTTTGATACACTCGATCTACTCTTTCCTTTTTATCAAAATATGAGGATAAAATATGAGCGAATCCATAAAACCCGGGATAAAAACAGTGACTTTTAAATGGATATTAGGTATGGTAAATTATTGCAGAATTGAAAGGAAAAATCATAGGAAAAATAAATGAGAGAGTAGTGGTTAATCAATTTTTGCAATTAATTGAAGAAGGGAACGCATGGAGGGTAGATCGATGTGGCAGGGGCGTTAGGGTTCGGCCCAGCGAAAAAAAATAAAAAAAGTAGGAAGAAACAAAAATAAAAAAAAGAACGGAGAAAAAGAAAAAAGGGCAAAAAAAAAGAACGGAAAAAAGGGAAAAGGGGAAAAAAGAGACGGACAAAAAAAGAGAAAAAAATAATGGAAAAAGGAGAAAAAAAGGCGGTGGAAAGAAAAAAACGGAAGACGGAAAAAACAAGCAAAATACGGTGAAAATAGCGAAAAAAATTAGGTATATATATATAGATTTGCGACAGTAGTTTTTTTTCTCCCTTTTTATTTTGAGTCGGACTTTTTTTTTTACGGACGACGGAAATTTCTTGTAATTTTTAAGTAGTAGAGATATGGTTTAGTTAAGATGAAATTTACTGCGAGAGTTCGTTTGGATATATATATATATTTTTAGAAAATCATGAGCTGCAGTTAGGAGCCCGATCGTCTCAAGTCAGCATGCGAGTTTTTTAAACATATTTCTTATATAATTTTCTCTGTATTACCAAAAGTGAACGATCTTAATAACCGACTCAAATATGGATATATAACCAAAAGCAAACGAACTTAAAAACCGACTCATACACGGATGACGTACCAAAATACCGACAAAAACATCTTCAATTTTTATAACCGACTCAAACACGAATGATGGACCGCGGAAACATGTTCAATTTGTATTTCCAAAAGAAAACAAACTTAAAAACCGACTCATACACGGATGACGTACCAAAATACCGGCAAAAACATCTTCGATTTTTATTTTTTATTAAAATATCTACAAAAATATTTTTTTCCAAAAATTTACAAATCTAGTTGCCTCTCATCCTCTGGACGGTAAAAATCACCCTTCCAAAGGGCGTTAAGGGACCCAAATGCAATTTTCTTATTTGTGTTTAAATCCTTTCTAGTGGTTTTAATTGCTTAAAAACTAATAATGCTTATTCGACACTCCATATGATTTTAAATAGAAAAGTAATAAACTACAGAGTTGTAAATCTCATCGATATCTATATCTTTTATATAAAGTTTATCTCCTTCCGATGTCGTTTGAAATGTAGATATGACATTTTTTAATAGGTTTTATATTTTGTAACGAGTATTTGGATATCTAAAATATCTTAAATGAAAAAGTTGTTAACTACAAAATTATAGATCTCGAGCTCTAAAATTTTGAAATAAAGTTTTATTTCATCTGACTTTATATGATTAGTTTTAAATTGTAAAATCATAGAGCTGACAAGGTATGCTTGAAAATTTATATTTAGGTCCCTTAATGCTATCTAGAAGGGCGATTTTTGTAAATTTTCGAAACAAAAAGTTATTTTTTAAGAAAATGTAGAAAAAAAAATTCTCCTTTTCTGACACCGCGATTGCCATCAAAGTGTGAGATGACAATGTTTTTCTTTTTCATAAAACCAAGGAGGCACTCATATACGGTCAATACTGATGTACTCTAACCCCTTGCCTCTTCATTACTGATGCTACGGTAGGAGTCGCTGATACGTGAGCCCTTGAGCAAGTGGGGTCCAGATGTCAGTCGCATTACTGCTGTCAAAGGATCTCGTTCTCACGCTTGTTAACGGTCCTTAAATGATAATATCCGACCGTCAATGCCTACATATAATAAAATAAAATATGGTATCCAATTTAGTAGTAGGGATTATTACTAATCATTTGCACTAGTATTGATGAAATATGTGTATGTAGGTATTTTATAGATGAAAACCACCTGTTATGCGACAAAAATACACCTATGAACAATCAGGACGCGTTTACATGGATTGAAGGACATATATTCAATCAAAACCACTTAGAATTGAGCCAAATTATAGTACATGATCTTGGGAGCCCGTTAAGCAACCACCCAGCCAAAGGAGAGGCTGAGAGGTGGGCTTTTGGGTTCAGCCGAACCCGTTCTGACACCGATGATCGCCATTTTCCACGTGTACGTCCCTGATTACTACTCAATGATGGTTGCAAGTTATTTAGGCTATAAAAGGAGGAGCTCACTTCACTTTCAACACACACAACTTTGAGCTAAATTACAAGATGTTCTATTTTATCTTTTGTACATTAAAAAATAGGTAGAGAGTGAGGGGAGCTCTGGAGGAGTGCGTGAAAGTTTGGTGCTCTCTCCGACTTTCCTCCGTGAACCTTTAGGCTGCGTTCGGGAGAAGGGGTTGGGAACCCCTCATCCCAGCACGCAAAACGAAGCACATATTATTGTTTGATTAATTAAGTATTAATTAATTTTTTTGAAAAAGGATTAATATGTTTTTTTAAAACAACTTTCGTATAGAATTTTTTTTTTTGCAAAAAACACACCATTTAGCAGTTTGAAAAGCGTGCGCGGGAAACGAGAAAGAGAGGTTGGGAAAAAGGAGTGCCGAATACAGCCTTAGAGTGGTTCGAATTATTCCCCTCAACTCTAGCACAAGACATTCTGCGTCTCCAAACTTTTTGTACTTGAACAAATTACCCCCTAACTCAATTCGGGGTGATTTTGATTCTACGTGGTGCACATGTAATAATCCAATTAGCCAAAAATAAAAATCAGTGGGGCTAACCTATTAGTGCTTGTTTGCAGTTTAGGAGATCTAGAGATGAACTTGTTGGTTATGTGGATTCAGATTTTGGTGGAAATTTGGATATGAGAAGATCGCCCACATGCTATATTTTTACTATTGGTGGATGTGGTATTAGTTGGAAGACAAGTTTACAAGCAACTGTCACCTTATCTACTACTGAAGCAGAGTATATGGTTATTTCTGAAGCTTGTAAAGAAGCTATTTTGGCTTAAAGGTTCTTACACTGAGTTTTGTGGAGTTACGTCTTACATTAATATATTTTGTGATAGTTAAAGTTTAATATGCCTTACAAAGGATCAGATGTTGCATGAGAGAATAAAGCACATTGATATGATATATCACTTTATTCGAGGTGTCATTACTGGAGGTCATGTCAAGGTATGTAAGATAAATACTCATGATAACCCAACTGATATGATGACAAAACCAATTCCTACTACTAAGTTTGAATTTTGCTCAAGTTTGGTTGGTGTTACAGTATAGTTCTAGAGACTATTTGACACGCAGTGAATTTATCTACATGAGGTATTTTTTGATGATTGATGATTTATATGGTACAAGAGAAAATTTGTTTAAAGGTAGGGATTGTTAATTATGTGACTGAATTTAGACATACAATATATTCGAATTAGCTTTCTAGTAGGACTCTATGTTCTATTTGGGGACAATTTCGTTTTTACCCCCCACTTTTATCTCTAATATTGATTTTGCCCATACTTTTTAGGGTTTTCGTTTTTGCCCCCACTTTTTTGAACTGAACCAGGTGTTTACCCCTAGTTTGGATGGAAGTTAGTGGGATAGGATTTAGGGAAGAAAATGAAGAATTTTTGAATTAGTGAATTACCGTTTTACCCCTGTGAAATGCTAACCATATAGAGGTCCTCCTCCTCTCGGCGAGACTGCGAGTGAGCTAGCAGCCCGTATCGAGAAGGAAAAAACCCTAGCGGCGGCGGCGGTGCAAGCGGCGGCGAGCGGGCGGCGGAGGAGAGCGGGCATCGACAGGCGCCGCTCCTCCCGGCGTGTGCAGGAGAGCGGCCGGGGAGAGGGCGGCGCGGTGGTGAGCGGCCGGTGCCCTAGCGGCGGCCCAGCGGCGCACTAGGCGGCGGCGAGCGGGCGGCGGCGCGCTAGGTGGCAGAGGGGAGAGGGCGGCGGCCCAGCGGCGCGTTAGGTGGCGGCGGGGAGGGGTAGGTGGCAGGGTGGAGTGGGCTAGGCGCCGGCGTTGAGGTGGTTGGGCTGGTGAGGAGCTCAGATGCGGCTGGTGTCGGCCCTGTGCTGTGAGCTATTGGTGAGTCATGGAGGAAATCTTGCAAATGGAGGAGATATTCATGGAAGAGGTTAACAGGTAACCTCTTGTGAGTGTAGTTGTTCTCAGTTTGGTTTGTACAACGAATTAGCTAGTAGTAACACAATTCAATGTGGTTGAGATAATTTACCAATGTGGTTGAGATCATCCTTGTTCTGTTAGGAACCATTTTATATGTTTTCTTATTTCAATGATGGTGCCAAATCAGGAAAATTATTGGGATTTAATCCAGAGAAAGGTGTGAAATGTGAATGTTGTTTGCGCTGACTGGGGTAGCTAGATGATTTGCAATGCTGAAATCTCTGAACCTCCCCCTCAAACAAACTTATATATTTTGAGTTGTATTTTTTGTGGTTATTGGTACCATGCAACAATTAGCTAAATTTATATTTTTGTTGCTGTGATTTGTAGGACAAGTCACAGTGAGTTGAAATTAGTTGTTAGAGTTGGGTCGTTTTTCAGCTTGCTAGATGAAGGGCCAAAGACCTATATGGAGGGTAAAACATTGCCAACCCAACTTGTTGACATGCATAACTATAGCTTGCTAGAATTAGTAAATTTTATAGCTGAACACTTCATATGGGGTTCTAAGCAATACATG